AGGTTCTTAATCTCAATGTAACTTTCTTGGTTAAATAAAGGTTAAATTAAAAAAAATTGTCCTAGCCTGGTCTTACCACACCATAGTACAAATTACATTTTGTGCTAAGTTCTGGATTTGCTCCATTGAGCTCCGTGAACAGGTGGGAGGGGTTAACTCCTTTTACAGATTGAAACGATTGGAGCTGTGTTTACTGTGACGTATGTAATGAGCCTGGGCAAGTCGTTAGCATTTAGCCTAGCTTTAGCATCTCCTTTGCTGCTAACGGAGCCCGTGGGGAGTAGCGCCACAATCTTTGCCAGCGATTACATTTGCTATGGCTTGCTCCGGCTTCAGTTTCTTGATAGAACCAGACCGGATTACTTTACTATCGCATTCCTCGCCAAACTACAACCTGCCCGTTTGACGCAAACTCTTGACGTCACCCACAGCTAACCACAACACCCGCCTCCCACGCTCGCTGATTGGTCGGATGGAATTCAACAGATTTAATCGCAAACACAGGGACCAGACCCAGACGTTACATGCAGGAAATGATGATTAACCTGAGTGTACGGATGGATAAGGCCAGGCTAGCGTTGTCCGTCTGTACACAGTCTGTGGGAGGGGCCCTGTCTGTGGGAGGGGCCCTGTCTGTGGACTCCAACCGCTCTGATCCTGAGCCTGAGGGAACAGTCTGTCTGCACTCTGTGGAGCCCACGTACATTTGCATAAACTGTATTGGTCTGTTTTTGGTTTTTCTGTTTTCTTTTCTGCCACACGCTGAGCTGACTCCCCCAAACAGAGTCTGCAAAACAACTTGAATGCATTGATTACGAGACGTACAGTATGTTTGGGATCGACCGGTGGCTGCCAAAACAGAAACACACCATTCAATCAATCAATCTTTATTCGTAAAACGCTTTTCAACAGATTTAACAGGGTTGTTTATCATGTCGGAAGTGACTACTATGTACTGTATTCTATCATACAGTGAAGTGTAAATATGTGTGTACAGACAGAGACCAAAGGAAGACCAGAGGGAGACCAGAGAGAGACCAGAGAGAGACTAGAGGGAGACCAAAGGAAGACCAGAGAGAGACCAGAGAGAGACAAGAGAGAGACCAGAGAGAGACTAGAGGGAGACCAAAGGAAGACCAGAGAGAGACCAGAGAGAGAGGCTAAAGAGAGACAAGAGAGAGACCAAAGAGAGAGACAAGAGAAAGACCATAGAAAGACCAGAGAGAGACCAGGGAGAGACCAGGGAGAGACCAGAGAGATAGACCAGAGAGAGACCAGGGAGAGAGCAGAAAGAGAGCAAAGAGAGACAAGAGAAAGACTAGAGAAAGACCAGAGAGAGACCATGGCGAGACCAGAGAGAGAGTAAAAAGAGACAAGTGAAAGACCAGAGAGAGACCAGAGAGAGACCAGAGAGAGACCAGAGAGAGACCAGAGAGAGACCAGAGAGAGAGAGACCAGAGAGAGACCAAAGAGAGACCAAAGAGAGAGCAGAGAGAGACAAAAGAGTCTATACCCAGCTACATTGAGTAGAGATTGAACCGAACTGTCTGAGATACAAAGTTATTACAGTTGATTTATCTTCATCTTTGTCTCATAACCCAGATTTAACCTACGGACCAAAACCACACAGATCTTTTTCGTCTTCAGGGGGTTTCGCTATCATCAGATCGTATGTATATCAGCGAATATCTACTGTGTGTACTTCACACTGTGTAAAACGTCTGGTGAGAGGCTGAAGAGCACGGCGAGCTGCAGGGGAGGAATAAAGCTCGACCTTTAGAGAGCGACACCTCAGCGTTCCACTGCATTATGAAGAGCACGGGAAATACTGAGGCGTGGAGGGAGTCCGAGAGGCAGAAGGATCCGGCCATGATGGAGGGAGGCAGGGGGAGGCAGTGGGAGGTAGAGAGAGAGAGAGAGCCAGGAGAGAGAGAGAGAGAGAGAGCCAGGAGAGAGAGAGAGAGAGAGAGGTGGGGGGGGCAGAGAGAGACAGAGAGAGACCAGAGAGAGAGAGGCAGAGAGAGACCAGAGAGAGAGAGGCAGAGAGAGACCAGAGAGAGGCAGAGAGAGACCAGAGAGAGAGAGGCAGAGAGAGACCAGAGGCAGAGAGAGACCAGAGAGAGAGAGGCAGAGAGAGACCAGAGAGAGAGAGAGGCAGGAGAGACCAGAGAGAGAGAGGCAGAGAGAGACAGGCAGAGAGAGACCAGAGAGAGAGAGGCAGAGAGAGGCAGGAGAGAGAGAGAGAGAGAGAGCAGGAGAGACCAGAGAGAGAGAGGCAGGAGAGACCAGAGAGAGAGAGGCAGAGAGAGACCAGAGAGAGGCAGAGAGAGACCAGAGAGAGACCAGAGAGAGAGAGACAGAGACCAGAGAGAGAGAGACAGAGAGAGACCAGAGAGAGAGGCAGAGAGAGACCAGAGAGAGAGGCAGAGAGAGGCAGAGAGAGACCAGAGAGAGACCAGAGAGAGAGAGACAGAGACCAGAGAGAGAGAGACAGAGAGAGACCAGAGAGAGAGGCAGAGAGAGACCAGAGAGAGAGGCAGAGAGAGGCAGAGAGAGACCAGAGAGAGACCAGAGAGAGAGAGACAGAGACTCTCTCTGGTCTCTTTCTGGGACCAGAGAGAGCCAGAGGGAGGCAGAGAGAGACAGAGAAAAAGAGAGAGTGACAAAGAGAGAGAGAGGGATAGAGAGAGATATATAGACAGAGAAAGAGAGAGAAACAGATAGAGACAGAGAGAGAAAAAAGGGAGAGAGTGGGGAGGCAGGTCTCTGAGGGGAGCTCGCTAATAGATGTTAATGTTCAGTGAAGTTTAGTAAATCACTTTGTGGCTCGGATAATTGAAAAAGGCAGAAATCAAAGACAACAGCGTTTGGGGAAATAATGACATCGACCAAAAGACGTTTCTCTGGATTTATGTTTTTGATCTGTCGAGTTTAAAGAAGGAGAGAAGAATATTTTGTTGAAGGACAGCTCTCTGGATCATGTATCAAGGTTCAATAAAACACAATACATCAAAAACAGAAACAATCAGACACGACATGAAATCATGAATAACACAGACTCATGGATCCTTCAGCGAAACAGAACTGTTTTGAACCCAGACTTAGACATTGTCAGAGAAGAAGCTTGTCTCACATTTTCAGGAAGACTGCTCCTCTCTCTGGTCTTTCTTCTCTCTCTTTCTGGTCTCTCTCAAGTCCCTCTCAAGTCTCTCTTTCTTTGCCCTCTCTCTTCTCTCTCTCTCTAGTCTCTCCTTCTTTGCCCTCTCTCTTCTCTCTCTAGTCTCTCTTTCTTTGCCCTCTCTCTTCTCTCTCTCTCTAGTCTCTCCTTCTTTGCCCTCTCTCTTCTCTCTCTAGTCTCTCTTTCTTTGCCCTCTCTCTTCTCTCTCTCTATAGTCTCTCCATCTTTGCCCTCTCTTCTCTCTCTAGTCTCTCTTTCTTTGCCCTCTCTCTTCTCTCTCTCTAGTCTCTCTTTCTTTGCCCTCTCTCTTCTCTCTCTCTAGTCTCTCCATCTTTGCCCTCTGTCTTCTCCCTCTCTCTAGTCTCTCCTTCTTTGCCCTCTCTCTTCTCTCTCTCTAGTCTCTCTTTCTTTGCCCTCTCTCTTCTATCTCTCTAGTCTCTTCTTCTTTGCCCTCTCTCTTCTCTCTCTCTAGTCTCTCTTTCTTTGCCCTCTCTCTTCTCTCTCTCTAGTCTCTCTATCTTTGCCCTCTCTCTTCGCTCTCTCTAGTCTCTCTTTCTTTGCCCTCTCTCTTCTCTCTCTCTAGTCTCTCTTTCTTTGCCCTCTCTCTTCTCTCTCTCTAGTCTCTCTTTATTTGCCCTCTCTCTTCTCTCTCTCTAGTCTCTCTTTCTTTGCCCTCTCTCTTCTCTCTCTCTAGTCTCTCTTTCTTTGCCCTCTCTCTTCTCTCTCTCTAGTCTCTCTTTCTTTGCCCTCTCTCTTCTCGCTCTAGTCTCTCTTTCTTTGCCCTCTCTCTTCTCTCTCTCTAGTCTCTCTTTCTTTGCCCTCTCTCTTCTCTCTCTCTAGTCTCTCTTTCTTTGCCCTCTCTCTTCTCTCTCTCTAGTCTCTCTTTCTTTGCCCTCTATCTTCTCTCTCTAGTCTCTCTTTCTTTGCCCTCTCTCTTCTCTCTCTCTAGTCTCTCTTTCTTTGCCCTCTATCTTCTCTCTCTAGTCTCTCTTTCTTTGCCCTCTCTCTTCTCTCTCTCTAGTCTCTCTTTCTTTGCCCTCTCTCTTCTCTCTCTCTAGTCTCTCTTTCTTTGCCCTCTCTCTTCTCCCTCTGGTCTTGCTGCACTATAGCTTTGGAAACACATTAAAACATGTGTTGTGTATTTGTTGTCGACCGCAGCGGCAGCGTTTATTTATGTACAAATGTGAACGCTTAAACTCCTGAACTCTACTCCTTCTGATAAGTGTGGGTTTGTGTACGTGTGTATCTGTGTGTATCTGTGTGTGCGTGTTTTTGTCTGTTTTGTATGCGTCTGTGTGTGTCTGTGTGCGTCTGTGTGTGTATCCAAGTGTGTGCCTCTATGTGTGTGTCTGTGTGCATGTTTTTGTTTCTCTCTCTGTGTCTGTGTGTATGCGTCTGTGTGTGTGTCTGTGTGTATGCGTCTGTGTGTGTGTCTGTGTGTACGCGTCTGTGTGTGTGTCTGTGTGCGTCTGTGTGCATGTGTTTTGTCTGTGTGCATGTTTCTGTCTGTGCGTCTGTTGTGTGCGCGTGTGTGTGTGCGTGTGTGTGTGTCTGTGTGTCTGTGTGCACCTTTGCGTCTCTGTGTGTGTGCGTCTGTTTGTGTCTGTGTGCATGTATGCATGTTTATGTTTCTGTCTCTGTGTCTGTGTGCGTCTGTGTGTGCATGTGTCTGTGTGTGTGTCTGTGTGAGCCGTGCCAAACTCTGCAGTCATTAATGCGTTAGAGAAACACTGTATGTGAATGAAAGTGGTGTCGCCGTGTTTTATGTTGGAACCAAATCAAAGACTCATTAAGCTCAGTAAAACAAACTACAATCACCATAATGAGCTGCAGCCTGCTCCAGAGAAACCCAGACCTGCTCCAGAGAAACCCAGACCTGCTCCAGAGAAAACCAGACCTGCTCCAGAGAAACCCAGACCTGCTCCAGAGAAACCCAGACCTGCTCCAGAGAAACCCAGACCTGCTCAAGAGAAACCCAGACCTGCTCAAGAGAAACCCAGACCTGCTCCAGAGAAACCCAGACCTGCTCCAGAGAAACCCGGACCTGCTCCAGAGAAAGAAACACAGACCTGCTCCAGAGAAACCCAGACCTGCTCCAGAGAAACACAGACCTGTTCCAGAGAAACCCAGACCTGCTCCAGAGAAACCCAGACCTGCTCCAGAGAAACCCGGACCTGCTCCAGAGAAAGAAACACAGACCTGCTCCAGAGAAACCCAGACCTGCTCAAGAGAAACCCAGACCTGCTCAAGAGAAACCCAGACCTGCTCCAGAGAAACCCAGACCTGCTCCAGAGAAACCCGGACCTGCTCAAGAGAAACCCAGACCTGCTCAAGAGAAACCCAGACCTGCTCCAGAGAAACCCAGACCTGCTCCAGAGAAACCCGGACCTGCTCCAGAGAAAGAAACACAGACCTGCTCCAGAGAAACCCAGACCTGCTCCAGAGAAACCCAGACCTGCTCAAGAGAAACCCAGACCTGCTCAAGAGAAACCCAGACCTGCTCCAGAGAAACCCAGACCTGCTCCAGAGAAACCCGGACCTGCTCCAGAGAAAGAAACACAGACCTGCTCCAGAGAAACCCAGACCTGCTCCAGAGAAACACAGACCTGCTCCAGAGAAACCCAGACCTGCTCCAGAGAAACCCGGACCTGCTCCAGAGAAAGAAACACAGACCTGCTCCAGAGAAACCCGGACCTGCTCCAGAGAAAGAAACCCAGACCTGCTCCAGCGAAACCCAGACCAGTTCCAGAGAAACCCAGACCTGCTCAAGAGAAACCCAGACCTGCTCCAGAGAAACCCAGACCTGCTCCAGAGAAACCCGGACCTGCTCCAGAGAAACCCAGACCTGCTCCAGAGAAACCCGGACCTGCTCCAGAGAAAGAAACACAGACCTGCTCCAGAGAAACCCAGACCTGCTCCAGAGAAACACAGACCTGTTCCAGAGAAACCCAGACCTGCTCCAGAGAAACCCAGACCTGCTCCAGAGAAACCCGGACCTGCTCCAGAGAAAGAAACACAGACCTGCTCCAGAGAAACCCAGACCTGCTCAAGAGAAACCCAGACCTGCTCAAGAGAAACCCAGACCTGCTCCAGAGAAACCCAGACCTGCTCCAGAGAAACCCGGACCTGCTCAAGAGAAACCCAGACCTGCTCAAGAGAAACCCAGACCTGCTCCAGAGAAACCCAGACCTGCTCCAGAGAAACCCGGACCTGCTCCAGAGAAAGAAACACAGACCTGCTCCAGAGAAACCCAGACCTGCTCCAGAGAAACCCAGACCTGCTCAAGAGAAACCCAGACCTGCTCAAGAGAAACCCAGACCTGCTCCAGAGAAACCCAGACCTGCTCCAGAGAAACCCGGACCTGCTCCAGAGAAAGAAACACAGACCTGCTCCAGAGAAACCCAGACCTGCTCCAGAGAAACACAGACCTGCTCCAGAGAAACCCAGACCTGCTCCAGAGAAACCCGGACCTGCTCCAGAGAAAGAAACACAGACCTGCTCCAGAGAAACCCGGACCTGCTCCAGAGAAAGAAACCCAGACCTGCTCCAGCGAAACCCAGACCAGTTCCAGAGAAACCCAGACCTGCTCAAGAGAAACCCAGACCTGCTCCAGAGAAACCCAGACCTGCTCCAGAGAAACCCGGACCTGCTCCAGAGAAAGAAACACAGACCTGCTCCAGAGAAACCCAGACCTGCTCCAGAGAAACACAGACCTGTTCCAGAGAAACCCAGACCTGCTCCAGAGAAACCCAGACCTGCTCCAGAGAAACCCAGACCTGCTCCAGAGAAACCCAGACCTGCTCCAGAGAAACCCAGACCTGCTCCAGAGAAACCCAGACCTGCTCCAGCGAAACCCAGACCAGTTCCAGAGAAACCCAGACCTGCTCCAGAGAAACCCAGACCTGTTCCAGAGAAACCCAGACCTGCTCCAGAGAAACCCAGACCTGCTCCAGCGAAACCCAGACCTGCTCCAGAGAAACCCAGACCTGCTCCAGAGAAACCCAGACCTGCTCCAGAGAAACCCAGACCTGCTCCAGAGAAACCCAGACCTGCTCCAGAGAAACCCAGACCTGCTCCAGAGAAACCCAGACCTGCTCCAGAGAAACCCAGACCTGCTCCAGAGAAACCCAGACCTGCTCCAGAGAAACCCAGACCTGCTCCAGCGAAACCCAGACCAGTTCCAGAGAAACCCAGACCTGCTCCAGAGAAACCCAGACCTGTTCCAGAGAAACCCAGACCTGCTCCAGAGAAACCCAGACCTGCTCCAGCGAAACCCAGACCTGCTCCAGAGAAACCCAGACCTGCTCCAGAGAAACCCAGACCTGCTCCAGAGAAACCCAGACCTGCTCCAGAGAAACCCAGACCTGCTCCAGAGAAACCCAGACCTGCTCCAGAGAAACCCAGACCTGCTCCAGCGAAACCCAGACCAGTTCCAGAGAAACCCAGACCTGCTCCAGAGAAACCCAGACCTGTTCCAGAGAAACCCAGACCTGCTCCAGAGAAACCCAGACCTGCTCCAGCGAAACCCAGACCTGCTCCAGAGAAACCCAGACCTGCTCCAGAGAAACCCAGACCTGCTCCAGAGAAACCTGCTCCAGAGAAACCCAGACCTGCTCCAGAGAAACCCAGACCTGCTCCAGAGAAACCCAGACCTGCTCCAGAGAAACCCAGACCTGCTCCAGAGAAACCCAGACCTGCTCCAGAGAAACCCAGACCTGTTCCAGAGAAACCCAGACATGCTCCAGAGAAAGAAACACAGACCTGCTCCAGAGAAACACAGACCTGCTCCAGAGAAACCCAGACCTGCTCCTGTCTCTCTCTGTCTCTATCTTGCCTCTATGGTCTTTGGTCTCTTTGGTCTATCTCTGGTCTCTCGCTCGTCATTGGTCTCTCTAGTCTTCACTGGTGTCTCTCTCTGGTCTTTTTCTCTCTCTTGCTGGTTTCTGTTTGCATGTATATTTGGCCTCTGTCGCTCTCTCTCTCTCTTGCCTCTATGTCTTTGGTCTCAGGTATCTTTGGTCTTTCTCTGGTCTCTCCCTGGTCTGGTGTCTCATTTTGGTCTGCTGTGTCTCTCTCTCGCAGGTCTCTGTTTGCTTCCAACACTAGTTTTCACATGCATGTATAACTGGCCTCTGTCTTTCTCTCTCTTGCCTCGACGGTCTTTGGTCTCCATCTGGTCTACCTCTGGTTTTTCTCTGGTCTGGTGTCTCTCTCTCTCTCGCAGGCCTCTGTTTGCTTCTATCACTAGTTTTCACATGCATGTATAATTGGCCTCTCTCTCTCTGGTCTCTCACTGGTCTCTCTCTGGTCTCTCTCTGGTCTCTCTCTGGTCTTTCTCTGGTCTCTCACTGGTCTCTCTCTGGTCTCTCTCTGCTCTCTCACTGCTCTCTCTCTGCTCTCTCACTTGTCTCTCTCTGATCTCTCTCTGGTCTCTCTCTGGTCTCTCTCTGGTCTCTCACTGGTCTCTCTCTGGTCTCTCTCTGGTCTCTCACTGGTCTCTCTCTGGTCTCTCTCTGGTCTCTCTCTGGTCTCTCTCTGCTCTCTCTCTGGTCTCTCACTGGTCTCTCTCTGGTCTCTCTCTGGTCTCTCTCTGGTCTCTCTCTCTGGTCTCTGTTTACGTTTATCATTAGTATTCAATTGCATGTATTTTTGGCCTTATTGACATCTTTAGACCATCTTTACACCTCACTCGACCCAAAGAGTCAAATAGTGACTCACAGGGCTCTCTCTCTCTCTCATGTTTGGAGGTGGATCCTTTTTCCTCGGAGTCCCCCACTTTTGCTGGTGTTGAGTTGTTCCTAGTTGATTCAGGAGAGTCTAAGGACAGTGGTCATCGCGCTCGCTCTGGACCAATAGTCTGATTTTCTGATCTGTTGTTGGTGAATTGACAACTTTGTGAAGTCCCCCGAGACCCCTGCTGTTGTAGTTTAGAGCCAGACACAAATGCATTGGATTGAAAATAAGTCAGTAATCCTTGGAGCCAGACACACAGACATGTATCCATCCAATTGTTGTGGCCATTTGTCAATTCCTCTACAACAGATCAGAGAATCAATCACACAGGAGACACACAGGAGACACACAGGAGACACACAGGAGACACACACACACAGGAGACACACACACACAGGAGACACACAGAAGACACACACACACAGGAGACACACAGGAGACACACAAGAGACATCATCAATCACTTTTTTTTAATGTATGTGACTATTTATGACTTTAATATTTCTTTCCAGCACTTGGAGTTGCCTTGTGTATGAACTGTGCCATACCATTAAACTGCCCTTGCCTCGCCATAGTAGCTTCGTCTCACATAACAATAAAAAGTCCCTCAAAATTAAGTTTAGAAACTAATCCCAAAGTTTATTTATAAAGAAGCCGTCTCAGACTTATTGTAATTCATTTCCCAAAACTCAATTAGACTTTGCCTGCGAATAAATGACAGAGTATGAAGCCGGGACTGAGCCAGAATTTCAGAATCCTCCGTCGTGTTTCGCTAATGTACTTTTAATTTCCTTTAGTTTTCAATAAGACGTTTACGACAGCGAGGAGCCGACCTGCCTCGCGCTAATGCATCCCCCGCCCTGCGTTAGCCGCGGAAAACACGGCTAATCTGCAATATTAAGAGATAGGGTTTCTTTCTTTGCTTCCTCCCCAGACGTGGTGCAGATATAGAGCTTAACGGTGGAGGTTTTCGGCGGGGTATGCCTGTCGCGGGTGTCAAAGTGATGCGCTAATTAGTTGTGTGTGTGCGAGAGAGGAGAGGACCAGACGGCGGACCGCGGCGGAGGACACAGAATACGACTCAATTAAACCACGGGATACGACTGGCCAGGGTTTAGATTAAATTGACATTGGCAACATACAGTCACCAGATTAGAAAATCAGAGGTGGCGGTCGTCTGGACTTTAGCACGAGGGAGAGAGGGAGAGAGAGAGAGAGAGAGAGAGAGAGAGAGAGTCAGATAGATAAATACTTTATTGCTGAGGAGGATCTAACCTTGCCTGCAAGCTGAATTCTCGCGGTATTTGTGAGTTCACAAACACTCGAGAATACATCTTGTCCCGCTCCCGCCAACTCTTTTCGAGTAGAACATCTAGGTGTTCAAGCCAATCAAGCGCCAGTCTGGGGGTTTAGGGTGGGATATCCGGGTTTGACGAAAGCAAGAAGTGCCGGGCCGAAGCAAAACAAACATGGCTACGCAGGAGGACGGACGCGTAGCTGAGGCTATCAAGTCAGTTTTAGCAGAATCTCCAATTTCTTTTTTGAAAGATGAACAGCGAGAGGCGCTTTGTGCATTTCTGGACAACAAATAATGTTACCGGGATTGGTTTAAGTCAACCCTTGGTAGGCGGGCACACAGCGTCACTTCGCCCAATCAGCTTGAAGTATTCTGCTGCTTATCCCTCCTTTCCCCGAAAGGATTCTCCTGCAGAAGTCCCAGATTGATATTGTGGAGAACGCATTAGAGTTCTACACAATCATCAATCTGGCTCTTGCCAGGTTAAGGAGGATCTACCTCCTGGACTAACTAACTAACTAAAAAGTTGTTGTCCAGTGGTTGTCTTTTTGTCATGTATGTTGTTCCAGGGGACGTCATGTGTCTATTTAAACATCTGTCAAACAGTTTTTCTTTTAACACTGCCCTGAAGAAGGCCCTGCGTGGCCAAAACGTGTTGGTTCCATTCCCTTATTAAAGGGCTTTTTATTGATCAGGATTTTACCCTGTGTTTACTTTTCCACAGAAAAGGGTATCTTTGTTGGCTATGCTATTTCTCATCCTGAAGAGCACCTGATTTTACTTAGGTTTTAAACATTTGGACTCCATAGCACTCACTCCTCCTGTTTTTAAGAAACTAACTATGTGGACCCTGACTGTCGCCCCCTGCAGGACACTTCATGTTATGTCATTTTGAAAACTTCTGAAACTTTGTCTCCCTCGTCGTCCAACAAATAAAACACATAAAAGTGTCTTGAACCTCTTTATGGAGCTGAGCAGGTGACGCTACTTTCATAAGAGCACGTTTCTGTTTCTGTGCTGTTATCACCGGCTGTAATTATAAATCTGTGCTTTCCTCTGACTGGGACTGCAGCATATGGCTCCAGCCCCCTCCCCTCAGGGTCCTCAGCACCGTCTCCCCCTCCCCTCAGGGCCCTCTGCCCCCTCCCCTCGGGGTCCTCAGCCTGCCCCCCTCCCCTCATGGTCCTCAACACCGTCCCCCAAACACAGCACTCTTTTGGGGCTGCGACATCTGTGAGCAGCTGCTGAGACGAGGATAACGAGGCCACCGTATGTCTCTGTGATCTGAAAACAGATCATTAAAGCTCCCTCTGGTCTCTCTATGGTCTCTCTCTGGTCTCTCCCTCTGGTCTCTCTATGGTCTCTCTCTGGTCCCTCCCTCTGGTCTCTCTATGGTCTCTCTATGGTCTCTCTCTGGTCCCTCCCTCTGGTCTCTCTATGGTCTCTCTCTGGTCCCTCCCTCTGGTCTCTCTATGGTCTCACTCTATAGTCCCTCTATCTTGTCTCTCTCCTCTCTCTCTGGTCACTATCTCTGGTCACTCTCTCTGGTCTCTCTCTGGTCTCTCTCTGGTCTCTCTCTGATCTCTCCCTGGTCTCTCTCTGATCGCTCTCTGGTCTCTCTCTGATCTCTCTCTGGTCTCTCTCTGGTCTCTCTCTAGTCTCGCTCTAGTCTCTCTCTCTCTGGTCTGTCTCTGGTCTCTCTCTGGTCTCTCTCTCTTGGGCTGAGAGCTGATTGGCTGAAAAGGGTGATTTTCTTTTTCCCTTCTGTCTGTAAAAGCTGAAACGTCCAGAATACTAACGACGGAGGTGGGTGAGTTTTGTGAAAGTCGACCTGTGACAAAGGAGCGGCACATTGTGTCCTCTCTCGGTTCGAAGGACAAAACTACGGAAAAATCCAAGGCAAAAGAAAAACCTTCCAACTCAAAAGCGCTTCAGGTTTGAGTCGGAGCAGCTTTTCTCAGCCTCAAGGACACAAAGTTCACACAGTCACTGTTTGATGATACACTTTATACGTCATACACACATCTACAGCCCCTGTGTTTCTGTGTTTCAGTCCAGACAGAAAGATCGACACACATTTCAGAGTGACACAGACGCCACAGACCTGACAGACGCCACAGACCTGACAAACCCGACAGACCCGACAGACCCGACAGACCCGACAGACCCGACAGACTTGACAGACCTGACCGACAGACCCGACAGACCCGACAGACGCAGAGATCATGAAACTGTCTCTTCGGTTTGGATTCTACTGAACATTTAGTGCATTGGACCAGGAGGTTTTCATTGAGATTAGGAATGCCCAGGTTTAAAGCAGATAACAAAACCATAACAAACACGTTCTTTGGTTCTTCTTCACCACTGATCACCAACAGGCGGCCTGAAAGCCAAATACAAATTTTCGTACTTGATGACTATTGTCTCCCTTATTTTCTCTGGCATTCTCTTTTTTGCAACATTATCATGAATTTATTATAAATTAGAAGAATCAATGACTCTTATGGTCCCTGGAAAAGCCATGTTCCAGCTTCTTCCCTTTGGCAGAAGATATCTCTCACTCTCTGGTTTCTCTCTGATATATCGCTCTGACCTCTCTCTGGTCTCTCTCTCAGGTCTATGTCCGGTCTCTCTCCCTCTCTCTCTGGTCTCTCTCTCAGGTCTATGTCTGGTCTCTCTCCCTCTCTTTCTGGTCTCTCTCTCAGGTCTATGTCTGGTCTCTCTCCTTCTCTCTCTGGTCTCTCTCTCAGGTCTATGTCTGGTCTCTCTCCCTCTCTCTCTGGTCTCTCTCTCAGGTCTATGTCTGGTCTCTCTCCCTCTCTCTCTGGTCTCTCTCTCAGGTCTATGTCTGGTCTCTCTCCCTCTCTCTCTGGTCTCTCTCTCAGGTCTATGTCTGGTCTCTCTGAGGTTTATGTCTCGTTTCTTTCTGGTCTCTCTCTGGTCCCCCTCAAAGTCCTGTCTTTCTCTTGTTTCTCTATCACCTATGCTCTCTTTCATTTCCCCCTAAGAAACCCTCCCTGGAATCAAAGGGAGAGTGGTGTGGCCTGGTGCTGCTGTTGTATCAGTGTGACACAGATTTGTATGCGCTTCGTTGTGCGTCTGACATTTAAATGTGATTCAGTGGAAACGGATGCATTTCTTCACATCGACCGCCGCTGTTTTCACACGCGGAAAAGTGCACGCTATTGATCTGTTTAACCACGGCTCCTGTTCCCGTCTGTGTCCGAGAGAGACCAGAGAGAGAGAGACCAGAGAGATAAGAGAGAGAGATACAGTACCAAAGAGAGACCAGAGAGAGAACAGAGAGAGACCAGAAAGATGTGAAAGAGAGAGTCCGGAGAGAGAGAACAGAGAGAGAGGGAGAGATAACAGAGAGAGAGAGATCAGAGAGAGACCAGAGAGAGAGAACAGAAAGAGAGACCAGAGAGAAGGATCAGAGAGAGTCCAGGGAGAAAGATTGGAGGGAGAGAACAGATAGAGACAACAGGGAGAGACTAGAGAGAGAGAGAGACCAGAGAGAAAGGCCAGAGAGAGAGAGAGAGATCAGAGAGAGACCAGAGGGAGAGAAGAGAGAGAGAGTGACCTGAGAGAAAGAGTCGAGATCAGAGAGAGAGAGAGAGAGAGAGAAACAAAGTATTGTCTCCCGTGTCTGGAAAACGGAAAATGGACTGTGATTTCTGGTCCCAGACTGACTCTCTCTCTTTTTCCTCACGTATTGAACTTTAAAAAGAAGTCTCTATAGTATGATATGCTAATGTTCCCCGCGTATGCTAGCTCTAATGCTACGGCCCCTCCTCCGCAGACCTGCTCACGTGGCCCCTCCTCCGCAGACCTGCTCACGCGGCCCCTCCTCCGCAGACCTGCTCACGCGGCCCCTCCTCCGCAGACCTGCTCACGTGGCCCCTCGTCTGCAGACCTGCTCACGCGGCTCCTCCTCTGCAGACCTGCTCACGTGGCCCCTCCTCTGCAGACCTGCTCACGCGGCCCCTCCTCCGCAGACCTGCTCACGTGGCCCCTCCTCCGCAGACTTGCTCACGCGGCCCCTCCTCCGCAGACCTGCTCACGCGGCCCCTCCTCTGCAGACCTGCTCACGTGGCCCCTCCTCTGCAGAACTGCTCACGTGGCCCCTCCTCTGCAGACCTGCTCACGCGGCCCCTCCTCCGCAGCCCTGCTCACGTCGCCCCTCCTCTGCAGACCTGCTCACGTCGCCCCTCCTCTGCAGACCTGCTCACGCGGCCCCTCCTCTGCAGACCTGCTCACGCGGCCCCTCCTCCGCAGACCTGCTCACGTGGCCCCTCCTCTGCAGACCTGCTCACGCGGCCCCTCCTCCGCAGACCTGCTCACGCGGCCCCTCCTCCGCAGACCTGCTCACGCGGCCCCTCCTCCGCAGACCTGCTCACGTGGCCCCTCCTCCGCAGACCTGCTCACGCGGCCCCTCCTCTGCAGACCTGCTCACGTGGCCCCTCCTCTGCAGACCTGCTCACGCGGCCCCTCCTCTGCAGACCTGCTTACGTGGCCCCTCCTCTGCAGACCTGCTCACGCGGCCCCTCCTCCGCAGACCTGCTCACGTGGCCCTTGTCTTGCTCAGAATAATTGCGCACCTGTGCTGTTTGCAGATGAGTTTCAGCTCCGGGAAATCAACAAGTGCAGAAAAAAAACAAGGGGAAAAAAAGGCCCCGAGCGGCTGATGAGGCGAGAGGTGCCTCTCTGCTGACCCCGCCCGTGCACCGCATTTTAATACATCTGTTCGTCAAAAAAAAAAGGATTAATGATGAACAAACAAAGCATAGACTTGAAGAGGAAATGTGTGTCCAGAGCACCGGGCGCACAGGAGGGTTGGGCTTAAATCTTTTAGTCCAGGATAGTATGTTTCAATCAATCAAAGAAGTGTTTTAAGCCTGGACTTGAATATAGCTGGGACATCTGGCCTCCCTCTGGTCTCTCTCTCTCTGATCTCTCTCTCTCTCAAATGTAGTTTATTGTAAGGCGGCCTTGGGTGTCTTGAAAGGCGGCATGAAATAAAATGAATTGTTATTATTATTATTATGGTCTCTCTCTGCTTGTCTCTCTCTGGCCTATCCCTTTGGTCTTTCTCTCTAGTATCTCTCTCTCTGGCATCTCTCTCTGGTCTCTTTCTCTCTCTCTGGTCTCTCTCCCTGGTCTCTTTCTCGATCTGGTCCTTCTCTCTGGTCTCTCTCTCTCTCTCTCTCTAGTTTCTCCCTCTCAGTCTCTCTCTCTGGCCTCTCCCTCTGATCTTTCTCTCTATCTCTCTCTGTGGCAACTCTCTCTGGTCTTGTCTTTCTCGCTGGTCGCTCTATGGTCTCTCTCTCTGGTCTCTCTCTATGGTTTCGCTCTCTAGTCTCTCTCTCTCTGGTCTCTCTCTGGTCGTTCTCTCTGGTCTCTCTCTCTGGCCTCTCTCTGGCCTCCCTGTTTAGTCTCTCTCTCTCTGGTCTCTCTCTGGCCTCTCTCTGGCCTCCCTGTTTAGTCTCTCTCTCTCTGGTCTCTCTCTGGCCTCTCTCCGGCCTCCCTGTTTAGTCTCTCTCTCTCTCTGGTCTCTCTCTGCGGTGTCTCTCTGGTCTCTCTCTCAGACTTGGTCCATATGTCACTAACATGTCACAGATGTACTTTGAGGTCCTGGAGAGACTTAAAAAACAGAGCTGATTTAAAGTCCATTCTCTGAGCCACAGGAAGCAGAGACCTGAGACCAGGACTGACGCGATGGTACTTCCTGGTTCTGGTCAGGACTCGAGCTGCAGCGTTTTGAAGATACTGCAGCTGTTTTAAAACTCATTCGGAGAGACCAGTGAGCAGCCGTTACAGAACAATCTATACTGGAGACAAAAGTATGGACTAGAATCTCAAGTGCTTTCGACATTATACCTTCAATTCTAGCGATGTTCTTTGGATGATATAAAAAGCTGATACAGATTTAATGTCTGACTGAATGCTTCAAAAAAACACAGATTTATGAGCCCAAAGTGATCATTGCCTTTGTCCCAACTTCAGTGGTCCCTAAAACAGTAGAACTATCTCGGCACCTGAAACAGAATTGGACCAAACTAAGACTTCACATTCCTCTCTATGTTCTCAAATGCTTCTTACTGTTTTTATGATTATATGCAGATCTGTGTAGCGCTGTATCCCACTGCACAATACAGATTCTGATCTGATCTTTTTAACTTTTACTTCCTGTTTTGTTGGCCTCGCCCTGATACGTCTCCCCTGTGCCCAGTGTGTGTGAGTTTGTCCAGTTCTGGCCCTCGCCCCCAGCTTCTGTTTTTTACATTCAGTTCAGCTTTGTTTTTGGTTTTGTTTGTGGTTTCTCGTTTATTAAATGATTAACAACTTACTTAATAACTCTATACTGAAATAAAATAAAAAACGTTAGTGTATAGTTGCCTGAGTCAGATTGCATGTTGTGTATTGTGCATTCGTCCTTCAGTTATAGGAGTAAAACATTTCCAAATGTAACTAGGTCTAAACACAGATACTTGTATTACAGTGTTGCTACTTCTGCATGCGCTGTACACACTCTGATCTCGCCCCGGAAACTTCTCTCTCTTCAACAAACCTGGCGCCCGCAGCCCATCACAAAAGGGAAGAATGTGTTGGTTGTTTGTAAAAGATACGAGCGGCACTATCTCATTCACGCAGCAGAATTATGCCTTATTTTCAGATCAATCCTGCACTTTTCGCGCCTCCGGCTGCGATTGATCCACTCTTTGTCGAGCTGGGAGTGCGATCGCTGCTTCTGGCTGGATTCGTATTATTTTTCCCTTCCCGGTTGGTGGCGATTGATGCGGGAAGTGAGAACGAGGAAGTATTGATTGGGAAAGAGGGGTAAATCGTGTGAGTTGAGTCTGAGAGGATGTTACACTCGGCTCCTGCTGGGCTCCTTCACTGGGACCTCACAAATCTCCCCTGGGGGGCCAGGTGCGATGACAGGGGGGTGCGTGTGACCCTGGGGAACATGCTTTCTTCTTAGTCCTACTTTGATAAAGTGTAATTGCACATCCACTACAGCAGGGCGGCACGGTGGCTGAGTGGATAGCACTCTCGCCTCTCAGCAAGAAGGTCCTGGGTTCGAATCCCGGCCGGACCAGGGCCTTTCTGAGTGGAGTTTGCATGTTCTCCCCGTGTCTGCGTAGGTTTCCTCCGGGTACTCCGGTTTCCCCTACCACTAAAAATATGTCCAATAGTTCTGGCATGCGCTTCCTGTACTGGCGCCCCTGCTCCCATCTCTGTGTGGAGTGAGAGACAAATGCCCAAAAATTAACAATTGTAAACCGCTTTGAGACTCAGATCTGCAGTGAAAAGGCGGTATATAAATAATAACTTACTAACTTACTTACTTACTAGCAGTTGGCAGTGGCGCTCACTAGTCTCAACCATGGATCTATTGTAATAACCCCCCCTCAGGAAGGTTCCATGCCCCCCCCGTGTCTCCTCCTGAAGAACTGAAACTAAAACTAAGTTAATAATGTCTCATGACACAGTCCCATTGTTGTTGTATCAAAGTTACGTACCCCAGCTTTAATCTTACAAACCTGTTACGGACAAAGTCCTTTGGTTTTGGTATTTGTGTTGCCTCCACCTGTCAGACCCTCCCTAATCCGTGTATCATTCGTTCTTTTGATTTTCTAAATAAAACCAACATTGAAAAAACGAATAACGAGGGATGTTTTTGATTCTCAATATTTGAATTTAATGCAAAATAGAAATATTGGTTTGTTTTTATGTTTTCTGTGGATCCAATTAAAACGAAAATGCAGTAAACCAATAATGACCGTCTAAATTACATTTTGCGATTTTCCTTTGAAACACAAACGTCCCCCGGAAGTGATTCGAAAGTGCGAGTTTGTCACTAGAACAGGAAGTGTCGCCTCCAGGTACTTGGATCGCACCTTGTTAGCGTTGGTTGGAGGAGAAATGTCTCTTAAAACTCTCCTCAAGATCAGTCAGATTACCAGCTTTTTCGTTCGCTGCTGCAGAGACCATCGCAGATGAGAATTCTCAGATTCACGAGAGAAGTGTTTTCTTCGATTAAAAATATATACACAAGTGTCAAGGTAAGACATAACTTAGCAACTAGCGCTAACAGCTAAGTTAGCATTAGCTACGACACATTTAGCTTAAGCACATACATGAAACACTTACACATGTAACAAATGTACCTAATTTGGGTGCTTTATTATTATAAATGTATGTTATAGACTTTCATATTATATAAGGACATGATATGTTTGTGTATTGGTGAAAGTAATCATGCTAAATTTTAGTAAATAAAAGATGATGCTAGATGTACCTTAACCATTCAATTGTGCTTTGTTTCTGCTTCATTCTCAAATATTGTCGAGGGACAGTAGTTAGAGCTAGATGCTTCAGGCTTATGAAGAGAAACGAGGAGCCCTCAGACTGCAGGTTTGAAACAGTCAGAAAGACTGCAGCTTTGAAACAGTCAGAAAGACTGCAGCTTTGAAACAGTCAGAAAGACTGCAGGTTTGAAACAGTCAGAAAGACTGCAGGTTTGAAACAGTCAGAAAGACTGCAGGTTTGAATCAGTCAGAAAGACTGCAGGTTTGAAACAGTCAGAACGACTGCAGGTTTGAATCAGTCAGAAAGACTGCAGGTTTGAAACAGTCAGAAAGACTGCAGGTTTGAAACAGTCAGAAAGACTGCAGGTTTGAAACAGTCAGAAAGACTGCAGGTTTGAAACAGTCAGAAAGACTGCAGGTTTGAAACAGTCAGAAAGACTGCAGGTTTGAAACAGTCAGAAAGACTGCAGGTTTGAAACAGTCAGAAAGACTGCAGGTTTGAAACAGTCAGAAAGACTGCAGGTTTGAAACAGTCAGAAAGACTGCAGGTTTGAATCAGTCAGAAAGACTGCAGGTTTGAAACAGTCAGAAAGACTGCAGGTTTGAAACAGTCAGAAAGACTGCAGGTTTGAAACAGTCAGAAAGACTGCAGGTTTGAAACAGTCAGAAAGACTGCAGGTTTGAATCAGTCAGAAAGACTGCAGGTTTGAAACAGTCAGAAAGACTGCAGGTTTGAAACAGTCAGAAAGACTGCAGGTTTGAAACAGTCAGAAAGACTGCAGGTTTGAAACAGTCAGAAAGACTGCAGGTATGAAACAGTCAGAACGACTGCAGGTATGAAACAGTCAGAAAGACTGCAAGTTTGAAACAGTCAGAAAGACTGCAGGTATGAAACAGTCAGAAAGACTGCAGGTTTGAAACAGTCAGAAAGACTGCAGGTTTGAAACAGTCAGAAAGACTGCAGGTTTGAATCAGTCAGAAAGACTGCAGGTTTGAAACAGTCAGAAAGACTGCAGGTTTGAAACAGTCAGAAAGACTGCAGGTTTGAAACAGTCAGAAAGACTGCAGGTTTGAAACAGTCAGAAAGACTGCAGGTTTGAAACAGTCAGAAAGACTGCAGGTTTGAAACAGTCAGAAAGACTGCAGGTTTGAAACAGTCAGAAAGACTGCAGGTTTGAAACAGTCAGAAAGACTGCAGGTTTGAAACAGTCAGAAAGACTGCAGGTTTGAAACAGTCAGAAAGACTGCAGGTTTGAAACAGTCAGAAAGACTGCAGGTTTGAAACAGTCAGAAAGACTGCAGGTTTGAAACAGTCAGAAAGACTGCAGGTTTGAAACAGTCAGAACGACTGCAGGTTTGAAACAGTCAAAGCCGCTGGGCTCATGTTCAGTTTGAGTTC